GGGTGATCCCTAATCCAATATGACTGACGTCCTTATTAGAAGAGGAGATTTGGTTGCAAACAGTACAGAGGGAAGATAATGTGGAGACTGAGAGAGGACAGCCACGCACAAGCTAAGGACAGTGCCCCAGAAGAAACACCTCGATCCTGCCAACACCCTGAGCTCACACTTCTAGCTTCCAGGACAACAAGGAAATACATTTCTTTTTAAGTCACCCCGTTTATGGTATTTGTTTTGGCAGCCTAAGCAAACTAATACATCTAGGTAATAAGTCCTTTTGCAAATGAGGTGGTTTTTAATCCTTTGATTTCAACAATACTGAAAGAAAACCAAATTGAATTATCTGCATATTGACCAATGAAAATAATTTTTGGTGATTAATACTTATGTGATTTTGGCATATATCTTCAAAGTAGCTCAAAGATTGATTACAATTTGACATTGTAATAACCAAATCTCCTCACTTCCCACCTACTTATCGATATAAATATGGTTTCTTGGAGCTTACATCTGTAGAAACAAAACATAGGAGATGATGCTAAATCCACTAGTTCTAGCAAAAACCAGTATTGATCTGTAAGTTAATTCACCAATTTAAAAGGATCATTTCACTAAGAGATAGTATTTTTGTATTTAATAGTATTTATAAAATTCAAAACCATATTTAATGTTGTTTTGATAAGTGTGTGTGATTATTATTTGTAAAATTAACTCGACCAAAACATTAACATTTAAAGTCTTATGATTGCAGGAAATTTTTATAAATATAATTTTAATTTATAATCTTGCTTTTATTGTAGAGAAGAAATATTAATAAAAGACTTTCAAGCTGAAAATATATGATATGAAGGTAAGATCCAGTTTAAAAAATAGACTTTAAAAAAGCACAGAAAAAAGAAAAAGTAACACTGGGGCGCCTGGGTGGCTCAGTTGTTAAGCGTCTGCCTTTGGCTCAGGTCATGATCCCAAGGTCCTGGGATCGAGCCCTGCATCTGGCTCCCTGCTCCACGGGAAGCCTGCTTCTCCCTCTCCCACTCCCCCTGCTTGTGTTCCCTCTCTTGCTGTGTCTCTCTCTGTCAAATAAATAGATAAAATCTTAAAAAAAAAAAAAAGAAAAAGTAACACTGAAGAATTGTATCCTGTTGAAGATCTTATTTTTGTGTTTTCTAAATAAATGTTCTTGAGTTTTAAATCACTCTGCTATTTACATCCCACTGGAAACATTTAACAAGGTGATGCAATCATTTTATTTTAAAAAACTGGTATTTACTACATATTGGAAGGTACATCATTTGCAACTTTTTAGACTGAGGATGAAATTTTTGGATGGCAATTTAACAGTATGGCAGGGGTGTATTTTTATAAAAATTTTAAAGAAGCAACAAGCAAAAAAGTTTGAAGAACACTGGTCTAGGTTTGATAACTAAAAATGGAATTGATGACTCATAAAATATGTTGAAATTCAACTCTACAAACTAATGCCAGAGTGCAGAGATACACATATTGACTGGCATGTTGAAGTTTTTTTTTCCATAGCAGATTTTATACTTTTTTCATCCTTTTTTTTTAAACTAAAATGGATGTCTACACATTGGTGTCTTATGCTTTTAATTTGCATTTCCCTTATTACTAGTTAGTCTGAGCATCTTTTCATATGCTTATCAACCATATGGGCTTCCTTTTCTGTAGAGTGCCTGTTCAAGCTTTTGCCCATATTTTTTCTTTTGGGTTGTTTGTGTTATTTTAATTGCTTTGAAAGGATTCTTAATATATTCTGGTTACTAACTCTTTCTCAGTTCTATGTAGAGAAGATACTTTCTTCCAGTTCGTGACTTGTGTTTTCATTCTCTTTATAGTGTTATGTGATAAACAGGAGTTTCAGTGATTTCTTTGCATCTTTTTTAAGAAATCTTTCCCTACATCAAAATCATAAAAATTGTATTGTCTTCTGAAAGCTTCCCTCTCACATTGAATTTTTTAATCAATCTGGAATGGATCTTTATGCTTGATGTGTATGCATCCAGTTCCATTTTTTTCATGTAGATAAAAGCTTTTTATAGCGTCAATTATTGAAAAATACCACCATTTACCCACTGATCTAAAGTGCCAATTCTGCTGTCAGTCAACTTCCCTTATATGTCTAGGTCTGGATCTGGGCTCTGACTCGTTTTGCTCTGTGTGGCAGAACCAGTTCCTCAAGCCCACTTCCTTCTGGGCACACTGTGCCACCACATTTCCCAGCCCCTTTTGCAACTGATGGGGCCACGTGACTGAGTTCTATAGGGAACGTCAACAGAAAGCATGTAGATTGCTTCCACATCGGGCCCCTGAATTTCCCATGAAATTCTTCATAGTTTCTCTCTTCTCTTGTCTGCGGCAGATGCAGAGAATCTAATGAAGTAGTGTGAGTCTATAATCAATGGCAGAGTCTAGTCGAGTCTGAGGTTCTGAATATCTCTGCATGATGCTCCTCCCAGCGCATCACCATATACCTTTCTTTCCTCATCTGCCATCAACCTGCCTTGGACTTCTGTTATTATCATCACTTGTTTAAACTAATATAGATCATTGAGAACTAAGTGTAATAGACCTAAGATCTTTATACTTGTACATCCTTCCGCTGGGCAAATGGGAAACTGTCAGTAGTGCAACTTGAAGCTGACTCCATGAGGATATAGATTGTTATTGGCAAAATAGATTCAGGAGACTGAATCCGTTAGTGTGATACTATCTTTCTATTTATAGGAGGAAAGTAAAACATCCCATTCTTTCAGGAGGCCATCACACACTCTAGCTAAGGGTTTATTCTCTACTGGGGAAGAAATGGGACAGACTATACCTTTTTTTGAAGGTACGTGAAAAAGTAGCCAGGCCAACTGTACAAGATAGGCATGAAGGTGCCAGGCCTGAAATGCATGTATTTTAAACATTTGGATGGTTTTTTGTTCTAAGCATAGCTCTGCTCCGGTGAGTAGTGAATATTGACAGTAGTTTCCTCATTTTTCCTACCTGAAAAGAAACCACATTAATAATTCTTTCTTCGAATTTAGAGGCAAATATTTCTGACAACATTTTTACAGTCTTTTGGTGATGTCATAAGGTCTTTGTGCTGCCTTGGGCACTTGGTGGCGGCATGGTGAGTGAGCTCAGCCCCTGGAGTCAACTTGGTTTTATACAGTTCTCTGGCTCTCCTGCATAACTTGATGACTTTGGGCAAGTTACTAAACCTCTCTGTGTCTGGTCAGTTATCTACAAAATGGAGAGGACAGTGGCCTCATTCCATAGGGCTCTTGGAGAAGTAAATGAGATCATTTATGTAAAGCATCTAGAACAGAGCCCAATATTCAGTCTTATTAAATGTGGGCTAAGCAGTGTGAGAAATATGAGCTAATGACCATAAATAAGGAGACAGAAAAGATAAGTGGAAAAGAAGAAAAATGACGAATAATAGTGGAATTAGAAAGACACGTTGTTCAAATGGAATAAACTAATGAAAATGAAAACGTACACTGATCTTACAGTTTGATACATCTGCATTTGGTCATTCAAAAAACTGTAAGACAAGGTTACACAATCATTTTTGGTTTGTAAAAAGGTGGTTGTCAAAGGAACTCAAATTATTAATGTTTTTCTATAAAAAGTATTATTGTAATTGAAGAATTATGAGGCAAATCTCTATTGATACATATGCACATGTGATAAATACAATTGGAATATTACAAGCAAGGGTACAAAGAACCTTGTCAAAAAGGGGTAATTGTTTTGTCATCTTTCCTTAATATTGTCAGATACATTTTTGGGTGATTATTGCATAAACTCATTAAAGACAAAGAAGACAACAGAATTAAAAATATATGAGGCTTTATTGTCAAAAATAGACAAACTTTAATTTCCTTTAACAGGAATATTAATTTAGAAATCTCCATAAGCCATCACCATTTTGTGAGCACAAAAGACAAGAGTCGACGACAACTGTTAGTGGCAGAAGGACAACGGTTCTACATCCAAGCCAGAGAAGCCAGGCCCACAGAATCACGGTGACCTTTAGAGCCCAACAGTAACAGACATGCAAACGAGGTGGACTGCTCTGGGCCCAGTCCTATAAGGCCCGGCTTTGCGGTATCTTTTCAAACACGTGAGGAATTGGATTTGTTAGACTGCTTGCTGATTTGAATAGTGAACTTTTAGCTCACGTATGGGATCCGTAACAGGATCACACCCGCTTTTGAGCAACACCAGCATGAAGACATTTTTCCCTACAACCCTGGCTTCAGGCACGTAAAGTGGTACTAATAATTTGGGCAGGAGACCTGACTGAGCTCCTTCTTGTGATTTACAGCAAAAATGTGAGGGCCTTGCTGAATAGAATACCTCAGTGTAAGCCTACATTCTCTCATTAACATAAGACAAGAATGGCTAAGGACCTAGCTAGGAGGAACAAGAAAAAAAATCAGGCCTTTCTTGTTCCCTAGGGACAGTATACAAGGCTGAAGAAAACTGGTTACCTAGACCATGATTTTCATTCCCTAGTCTGTACTCTACACCAGATATCCATACCCAGAGCAGACTTCATAAATAGGCCCATGTTGATCATGAAAAGTGGTAGCATGCACCTATTCTCTCCTTTGAAGATTCAGGTTAAGGAGAAACACCTCAGTTCCCAGGAGAGGCCAGAGCCAGGTAACACTGACTGGGTGAGATGCTTCATCTGAGGTTAAGCATATGTGATAATGAAAATCAGAAGCTAAATTATCAAGTGAATGAGAAAGGAAGTGGATCTGAGAACTCACTTCCCACCCCCATACATATTCACCATGCCCTCAGGGGAAGAGTGATCAACTATATGCAAAAAAACCCGTTCAACACTTTTCACTTTTCTAGCTTAAAGATAACATTCAATACTTGAGAACTAGAAAAACGACGCTTGTATTGTACCATAAAGTTATTTTAAACAATTCTGTGGTTACTGAAATGACAATACACGCTTTTGCCACCTCTAAAACAGAAGCATAGAGAGGATGCAATTAAACAGTGAAGTAGCTTTGTTCTTGCTGTGACATTTCCTATTCACTCTTGCATGGGGTGAAGTTTTAATTACATTCACCCACTACATTCTACCCTCCAGTCTAAGAACGCTTCATATCTGAGTAGGGGCAGGAAAATGGTGCGGGGTTCTGGAAGTTTTGAGGAGCTAAGCATCATGATGTTTCTGTGATTGAAAGGATTACTCCGAAAACATACAGAAAAAAAAAAAGCCGTATGAAAATCTAATTAGGCACATCTGGTGTATAGTCTATTTAGCAAGACAACCTGGAAAAAGCGAGGTCAAATATAAAACTAAGGTGGACTGCTTCTTTTATTCCATGCCATTTTGTAAAAACATGTAATACAGGCAAAAAAAATAAAAGTACACTTTTTCAGGTCCTTTCTCAAAAGCCATGAACTCAGCCTTTTAGTTGGGTTGCTGTAAATGTGAAGCCTGGAAGGGAGATGACTCAATTTGGGGTTTCTCGTTGAGAGCAGGCAGGGTGACTAAAATGACTCTCACGGGGCAACTGTGCAGTTTTATGACCCAATCATAAAAAGGACCTTTAAAATCTTTCCTTTTCAGCACTCTTCAATGACTGTGGTTCCAATCAAGGAATAAAGCTTTTTCTTCACAAGTCGGAATCCTGAACTCAGGATCAGAGTTCGCCTGAGGCCAGATGAGAAGCGACCTCGGCTGAAGAAAAAGTCCCTGAAGCTAGTCCAGGAGCCATTCTCCTGCTTAAACACAAGGGTGAGCTCAAAAGTGGGCACCACGCTTGAATCACACACAATCTTATCCAGCTTTTTACATACGTTTTCAATTTCCAAGTTCACGTGCATAACGCAACCTCGAAGGCCGCAGGGCTCCGTGGAGGACAGCCGCAGGACATCCTGAGCAATCCTCTGGGTCAGTTTCTCAGGGACGAGGACTTTTGAGCAACCAAGTTTGGTTTGCTTTGATTTGGACAGACAGTTCTCCAGCATTTTCGCCAAACTCTGGCAAGTTGTCTCCTCAAACATCACCTCATTGAGGTTGGGTTCAGGAACAACATAATCCCAGTAGTCGAAGTCTGTAGGAAGGGGAAGTTTGAGATGAAATCAATCAATCAATCAATCAATCAATCAATCAATCCTGGAGCAGATAAAACACACCAAGATAGCAACATGGGCTACTTCTATCTACCACGTCTGCCTTTTGCTCATATTTGTTGGCGAGTCAGCTGACTCGGCTTTGCTGTTGACTAGCTGGGTAAACAAACAGGGCAGGTCACTGAAAAATCTCAGAGACTGAAAATGCATCTATGAAATAAAGGTTTTGATAAACAGGATGGATAGGATATAACCTCTTTTTTTTAAATTTACATGTGTACATACACACAATCTTATAGACTGGATCAAAAATCTTTCTATGGTTATACTAGAATACCAGTAACTTTCTTTTTGTTGTTGTTGTTGTTGTTGTTATTTGACAGAGAGAGACACACAGCAAGAGAGGGATCACAAGCAAGGGGAGTGGGAGAGGGAGAAGCAGGCTTCCCACTGAGCAGGGAGCCCAAGGCGGGATTCAAGCCTCAACCTAGCCGAAGGCAGAGCTTAACCACTGAGCCACCCAGGCGCCCCCCCAGTGACTTTCTTCTCCTTCCTGCTCCCTTACTTGTTCTGAGGGTTTTCTAATTTTGTTTTACAGAGAACACGCTTCACTTCTGGAATAAAAATGGTAATATTTTTTTTTTTCAATGAAGGGACTGTTCATTTCCAAGAATTATATGTGTTTGTTATTGTGAAATGCAGGATTTTTGCTAACTGCTCCTTACTGCTGAACTTAAGAAGAACTTGATGAGCTATAGTTAATATCGAATTTGTGTCTTTCTTTAAAAGTCTCTACGGGAATGGTCTGTAGATCCCAATTTTAGCTTCAACCTCTTTGATTAAAAATTGCTCAAAGGGAAGACCTTTAAGGTCCATGAGGATATTTATAACTGGCTGGGTAGTTTTCGTAGCCAAGCAAAACAAAACAGTCCTAGGAAAATAAAATTAGATTTGCTCAAAGGAAAAGAGATAGCTCTGCATTTGGTCACCTACCTTCCAAATTAATCCTACCACTTGGCAGGATGCCACACCACATTCGCAGTCAACTGGGCAACCCTTGCCTAAGCATACTTAACCTTCATTGGCTACTGTCTCTTCATCTCCCCACATCACCTATTCGGTTAGGTCATTGTTTTTGTTTTCATAACTCAGTGAAACAAATGCACTTATAAGGCTCCATATTTTACCTATATGGAAGACAGAATTTTAGAACTTTCGCCTATAAAATTAGCTCCTCAACCACTTGGCCTTCGAAATGAGGAAGGCCCAAAGAAATTAACAATTTGTCAATGCTACACAACTTCTTAGACGCAGAGCAGCGTGCTAACCTAGAAACTGCTGTTTAAAATTGCAGATGAAAGTATGTCCAGCACCACTGCTGTTTTAAAATTTCCTTCTGGCATTAAAAACAGAATACTGGGTATATCCCCAAATAGAATATTGCTCAGCAATAAAAAGGAACACATACCGATAGAAGCAACCACATTAAAGGATGTTAAAATCATTAGGCTGTGGGAAAGAAATCAGATGCAAAAGAGTAGGTATTACATGATTCCATTTGTATGAAACGGTAGAGGCAACACTAATTTATGGTGACAAAAAGCAGATCAGTGTTTCCCTGGGGACAGGGGAGAGGGAGAGTGGAAAACGGATGGCAAATGGACGCGTGGGAATTTGGGGGTAGGGGGTGATGGCAGTGGTTATAAGGGTGAATACATTTGTTAAAATTCAAAACTGTACACTTCGAATTCACCGTAACTTCACAACTCCTTAAGAAACCTATCTAACTTTGAATCCCCAAACATCCTCTTGGCCGCAAACTAGACCGTGCAGCCTTCGGGTTGTTTTATTTTTTGCTACTTTTGTTTCTCACTACCACGAACAGAAGATGCTAGAAAGTTTGGAAAGGAGTCTTTTCAGATGGATTTTGAGGCACACCCTACATCGAGGAAGGGGCGACACCGTCCGCCCACCCATCTCATCTTCCAGGGGCCGCGACTTTTGGAGGAGAGAGAGGCGGGCAGCTGGGAAACTCACCATTTAGCAGGCTCCCCGGGTGGAAGTCATGGTCTAGCAACTCTGAAATGCAGGCCGGGTTCTTACTGCTCAAACTGCCAGTTGCAACCATGGTCAACGTCTCTGCTTCCCTCGCGAGGGCGGAACGGCCTTTCCGGGGCGCTGGAAAAAGAAGGGAAGAAGGACGGTTTTGCAAAAGTAGGCAAGACGTGCAGAGGCTCCTAAAATGCCCAGCGTCCCGGCAGCGAACTAGCCGAGGAAGTCATTTTCCAAAGGGGAGGAGCCGGCCTCCGCAACTCAAGTTTACAAAGCCCGGGGAGTGGAGACGCCAGCCACACTCACAACCTAAAACTAATTCAAAGTTAGCATAACTCGGAGCGGACGTGCCCAGAGGAACGCACCCCTGGGCGGGGAGCAGCGGAGCCCTCCGCCCCCGCTCCGTCCCCCGAGGCCGCTGCCTCGCTCACCTGCTGGGAGTTCGCTGCGACGGGCGCGCTCGCTGGCAAAGCGGCGGGGTAAACGGAGGCACGGCCTCTTCTCAGGAGCCTCTTCCCTCGGAGGCTCAGGGACCTGCAGACCCAAACACTGATCGACCCCCAACCCACGCAGCACCCGCTCCACCGAGCAGCATCGCCCCTGGGGCCGCGAGTACTTTATAGGCCCAGCCTCCTCATCCCGCCGCGGCCCGCCCACCTGCACCACCCCTCCGCGGCCCTGCGCCCCGCCCTTCTCGGGGTCGGGTTGCATTTCAACCCAGACACTTGCAGCCGCCCAAGGGGAGCCGCTGGGAATTGAGGATAAGCTTGCGGCCGGGTAGACACCTGCTGTTTCCTGAGTGGGCCACAGGTCACCGAGTCCGCAATTCCGGGTGTACGACTTGCCGAAAGCTGACCACTCGCCTCCACTACTAGCTTGGATTCTTTGGCGCGACCCCACCCCAGCGCGCGCACACTCTCACGCCGCCGGTGCCCTTGTTAAGATTCTGTCCCAGGCAGCCGGAAGCTTTCCGTCCTTTGTCTATTACCGGGACCTGAGGCTTTGCTGTGTCATACTAAAACTTTGCTAATATCTGTTTCGATGTTCAATGAGCATTATTTATGCATTTAGTTCTGGCCTCTAACCAAGTCAGCTCTACTCCGTGGGTTTCTACATCTTTCCCTCCTGCCCGCGATCAGATCTAGCTCGCCTTTTCCGCATCGGAGGTTCTCCAGAATTCTAGGAGGGGTCTTCATCACTGCAGTCCCGGCACCCTAAGGCGGTTTCATCTATGACATTATAATGAGTTTTCTCCGCGAGAAGGGTGAGCCTGGTACTCTTCTAATTAGACCTGGCTCCAGAGCGCTGGGAGCTTGAATGAAGGGGACCTTGCCAAAAGCGAAGCAAAACCGGTAGTGGGACCTTAGCTGCTTCTTCGCCCGCCTGATCGCCAGGAGCAGTTGTCATACCCAGAGGCAGACCTTTCTGGCGAGCCCCGTGGTGTTGGGCGGTCTTGAAGGGGCTTGGGGCGGTGAATATACGGAGTTTTAGTACCTGCTAGGAATAATCCCTGTGAGGCTCGATGTGCAGTTCTGAACCCAAGCGCACAGAGAGAGACAGAGGAACTGTGCAAGGACTCGACATGCGCGCACAGCCCATAAGCAGGAGGCCAAGTGCTATGTTTCCTTCCAAAGTTACTAATCCACCCTTTTCTTGCTTTGATGTGCAGTAGGAGATGATCTGTTCAGAGTGGACACTCCCGAAGAAGGCGTTGGGTCAGGAGCGGAAAGGGAGGGGATGCCAGGAGGGGAAGACTGTTTCTACAAGTAGGAGGATCTAGTGTTGGCTCCTGGTCTTTCAGGATTATGTGTACAAGGATCTGTAGGTTAGGGCCTTGAAAAGCAGTTTCAGCTGTCCACCCTAAAAAGTCGTAGTAAGAAAAACAACAACAGAAGGGGTAAGGAGGGTGTGATAAACAGATCAGTGGGAGGACATTGGGAGGCAGTGCAGCAGAAATTAAAGCCAGCCTGACAGTCCATTTTTAACTCGACTCAGGCAGCTGCACTGCCTGAAGGTCAGGCCAGCCAAGGAAGGAGATGCTGATAGGCTGGTCATTGAAAGCAGATTTCCACTTCTATTTCAATAGCAGAAAAGTGGGAAATAAACAAGTCCATTTAAGCCGACCGAAAAGCGGTTTCAGTGGCTAATATGTTCAAGACCAATAGATGAGCTGCCTAGCTGTCTGGGGTGAGGGGAGGGCAAGCCACAGGGCGTCCCTTCCTTGTCTGGGTGGCAATATTGATGAAGTGGCCACCTACCTGCCTCCAAGGAGAGTTATTAGGATTAATATAATGAGTGCTCTGAACCTACACCATTGAAATAAAGAAATTACCCATTTCATTTCCCTTAGGTATTTAGGCAAAACACATAAACTAAGTACTCCCAAAGGGCCAGAAAGATTATTGGGCCTTCTAGAACATAGCAGTTACTCTTCGCTCACCTGACTAAATCCCTTCGGGATTTTACTGCAGAAAATAATTTACCTATGTATGAAAGACTGAATAATATTCTTTTTGGCTGAATGGACCTAGCTTTGGGGAATTACAGGGCATAAGGAATGATCGATGTGGAACACACTTGGGATAATTAGTGGAGATTGTCCTTTCTCATCTCCTCTTTAAAGGGTAAAAAAAAATCCATCCTATCACCAGTTTTCATCTATGCGGGGTTAAACAAACAGACCCGATTTTTAAAAATAAATCATAGAATAGAATTTGGAAAAACCAAGTGCCATCATAGTCTTATCAAGAGATGACAGATACTTTAGTCCATTAATTTTTATATGCTGTGGATATAGTTAATTATAACGGAAGGTTCACATGGGGGTATCAGGTGTTTATGAGGTAGTGCTGAAGTATATTTCATTGCTGTTTTGTTATATCCTCTCTCATACTGTAAAAAGAGTTTGTGAGGGTGCTTACTGGAAACAATAGTTGAATATGAAGAGAAAATCTAATTGGTTAAATCATTTGATTGCCTTTCATAAACCAGTGTAATATAGCAAACTACCAAAATCCTAAGTAAGGTCTTTGACTGAAGCATGCTTTTTTATTACTATGATTTACTCCTAAGAAAGAAAACTAGTGGTAACACGTGGCAACAGTATGGTCATCTGATGTATATACACATATGGAAGTTCCATGTCCCCCTCCTGTCTAAATATAGTACTCATAATATCATTGCTTGCATAAAGGATAAGTTCAGAATACCAGGGATATTACAAAAATGAAAAACAAATATGATGCTTTAATATATTATTCTAGGAGACACTGGTATCTTGCGCATTCATGACTTGGAGTGTTGAATATTTATTATGTTTCACTGGCCAATTTTCTCTCTTTATCCAGTATGAGCCATTGTTCCTGAGGTCTTATTAATACAGTTATATCCAGTGCATTGCTAATTTTACTTCACAAACTATGACATCAGAGGGAAAATGACTGGGTTTCTTAATCTGTACAATGGGTTCGGGGAAGATATACAGGACATGGAAGTCTCTTAGCAAGCTCATAGGGTTGTTATGAGATTAAAAGAGAAACCCTTATAATCAATGCTAAATATTAGCTCCTTTTTATAAAGAAATCTGAGATCTTTAAATGCACACTACTGGGGCATCTGGGTGGCTTAGTCAGTTAAGCATCCGACTCTTGGTTTTGGCTCAGGTCATGATCATGGGGTCGTGGGATCGGGCTCTGTGCTGAGCTGAGCATGGAGTCTGCTTCAGATTCTCTCTCTCACCCTCTCTTCTCCCCCCCACCTCATTCGCACTCTCTTTCTTTCTCAAATAAATAGATAAAATAATGCACACTATCCCTGGCTTTCCTTGGTTATGTGAAATTTCTAAATCTAGTACTTATGTGCAGTTTTAGAACAGGGTCGGTACATAGCAAGTGCTTAATGAATGATAGCTATTATTATTGCAATTATTATTGTCCTGAAATTGTGGTTCTGTTTATTGCAGCAAGCACTAATGGGGCTAAATGGGGTTGGAGAAGTATTGCTAAAACAGAACAAAATTTATCCTCTTTCCTGTTTGCAGGCAGTACGGAAAATATTTGCCACTGATTGGGAAAGACAACTTTTTTTTTTTTATGATAGTACATGTGTAACTTAATGGGAGTACAGGAAGGAGATCTCTCAATGGTAAGTAAGAAAATAATGTGGGTAACAAGTTGTTTTGGTACAAAATACAGAATTATATGTATTAACTTTCCTATATTAATCTAGGAAATAGTTTTCTGGAAAAAAAAATCACAGGTTATTTGAAATCATTGCCTAAAGAACCACCCAAATGTTGCAAGACATGTATGACCCCCTGTTAACACTCTGGATGAGATATGTCATCATTATTTTTGTCTTTGAGGGTGCTCCAACAAATAAAATTTCCATTTAATGATGAAATATGCAGTGAGTTAGTCTATAGAATAACGAGATTTTCCAATAAGTAAGATAATGTGAAGACTCATTTAATATAAGACAAAAGAAGCCCAGTAGAAAATAATACATAATATCTGCGGCTAAAAGCTGAGAGAAGCTTCCAGTAGCAGAAGGCCTTGCTTCTCTAAATTCAAGCAGAGAAATGGTTACCATAGTGACTTATCTCTCAAAATAGTTGTATGATTTTTTCCTTTTCATAAACAATGCTACATATTATCTCCCTTTAAGTAAAGAAAGCTGATATGTTTAAATGTACACTGTCCCTTCTTTTCCTTAATTATACAAAGATTTATAATTCAGGAGCCCGCATAAAAGAATGTCAGCTAGGAGTGTGGAGAAGGTCCTTGACACTTTTCTAGGGATACACCTTAAAACCTTTGCAAGTTCCAAGTTGGGGAATACCATCATGGCATACCATTCCTCTGGAATTCTCATGTGCATAAAGATAAGAGGAAAAGATAGCTCTGCACTCGTGTAGAGGCTGGTCCTTCCTTGGTCCCCCTCCCTGTACCAGCCAAGTGTCCTATTCTGATGGACGAAATTTGCACAGCTTTTGTCATTCACATTTGTGTCCCAGAAAAGTTCCACATTGCTTCATGACATAACCCTGTGGGGTTGTACAAGAAAACAATTAAATCCAAGAATGCCCACATGTGGACCAGATAGAAAAATCTGGTAGTCTTTAGAGTGGGTCTGACCCTTGTTCTGTAAAGAACGTTAATGTTAACAAGTTTGACAAGGTCAAAGAGCGATTCTGTTTTTTTATCTTCATGGTGTAGTGGTTAGGTGTATGGACTGTGGGGCCTAACTGCCTAGCTTTATATCCTAGCCATGACACTAATTAGCTGTATAAACTTTTTCTTTTTTAAAGGTTTTATTTATTTATTTGCGAGAGAGAGAATGAGAGAGAGAGAGCACGAGAGGGAAGAGGGTCAGAGGGAGAAGCAGGCTCCCCGCTGAGCAGGGAGCCCGATGTGGGACTCGATCCCGGGACTCCAGGATCATGACCTGAGCCGAAGGCAGTCGCTCAACCAACTGAGCCACCCAGGCGCCCTAGCTGTATAAACTTTGATAAGGTACTTAACAT